TGAAATAAAAAAAAGAAAGAAATGTTGCGCTATGACTTTTGAACTCACTTTTTTCTCCCAATATTATTAGGTCTAACTACTAGTTCCAAAACCTCTTTTTAATAGTATTTTGAGTGTTTCCTGTTTCTGTTGTGGCCATACTTAATTCTCTTTATTTTAGTGTTAGATTCTAGCTTCTAATATGTCTTCAGGCAGGTGAAAGTGCCATAGTTAAAATCATTTATCTTTCTAACCCACCAAGCCTGAATCATGAAGAAATAGAAAGTCTGAGCAGACCTATAACTAGTAAGCAGATTGAATTAGCAATCAGATACCTCCCAAAGAAGAAAAGCCTAGGACCAGATAGCTTCACTGGTGAATTCTACGAAACATTTGAAGAAGAATTAACACTAGTCTTTTTCAAATTCTTCCAAAATTTGCAGAGGGGAACACTTCCAAATTCTTTTTTTGAGGCAAGCATTACCCTGGTTCTAAAGCCAGTCAAAGACACTATGAGTAAAGAAAACTACAGACCAATGTACTTAATGAATATGTTAATGTGAAAATCATCACTAAGACCCTAGCAAACAGAATTTAATAGCACATTGAAAGAATTGCACATCATGACCAAATGAGATTTATTCTGGAATGCAAGGATTATTCAACGTATGAAAATCAGTCCATGTAATACACCACTTTAACAGGATAAAGAAAAAATGTTATAATACCACATGATCTTCATAATTGATGCATAAAAAGCATTTGACAAAATTCTGTGTGCCTTTTTAATTAAAAACATTCAACACACTAGGGATAGAAGGAAACCATCTCAACACAATAACGGCCAAATGTGAAAAACCCACAGTTAACATGTTGAAACACTGAAAGCTTTTACTCTAAGACAACGGAAGGATGCCTGCTTTTGCCACTTCTCTTAAAGTCCTAGTTAGAGCAGTTAGAAAAGAACAAAATATAAAAGGCATATAATTTTGAAAAGAAGTAAAATTTTCTTTATTCTTAGATGACGTGATTTTATATGTAGAAAACACTAAAGATTCCACAAAGAACTTGTTAATACTTACAAATTCAGGAGAGTTACAGGATACAACATCAACATGTAAAAATCAGTTGCATTTCTATATACTATGAACAATCTGAAAAGAAAATTAAGAAAACGATTCCTCTTTACAATAGCATCAAAAAGAATAAAATACACAGGAATAAACTTAAGCAAGGAGGTGAATAACTTATATATTGAAAACTATAAAATATTGCTGAAAAAAATTAAAGAGGACACAGATAAATAGACAAATTGTGTTTATGTGTTTGAAAACTTAATGTTTATAAAATGTCAATACTACCCAAAGTGATGTATAAATTTAATGCAATCCCTATCAAAATCCTAGTGGCATGTTTTGTAGGCTTAGAAAAATCCATCCTAAAATTCATATAGAATGCAGGGAACCCTGAAAAGCCAAAACAATGTTGAAAAAGAACAATTTGGAGGTCTCATACTTCCCAATGTCGAATTTATTAGGAAGCTACAATAAACAGAAATGTGATGCTGGCATAATGACATAAATGCCAATGGAATAGAATATAGAGCTCAGAAAGAAAACCTCACATACATGATCAAATCATTTTCAACAAGAGTGTAAAGATCAGTCAGTGGGGAGATGACAGTCTCTTCAACGTGGTGGTGGGAAAACTGGATATCCACATGCAGGAGAATTAAGTTAGACCTTTACTTTACACCATTACACTTTCCTATACAAAAATTAATTCAAAATGGATCAAATACTTAAGTGTAAGACCTAAAACCATAAAACTCTTACAAGAACACATGGGGAAAAGCTTCATAACATTAGATTTGGCAATGATTTCTTGGATAGGATACCAAAAGATATAACCAACAAAAGCAAAAATAGACAAGTGGCGCTACATCAAACTGAAAAGCTTCTGCACAGCAAAAGACAAAATGAGTGAAAAGGTAACCTACAAAGGGAGAGAAAATACTTGCTAATCATATATCTGATAAGGGGTTAATAACCAGAATATAAAGAATTTCTACAACGTAACAACAACAAAAATAGTAACCAAAATTAAAAATTGGCAAAGGATTTGAGTAGACATTTCTCCAAAGATGATATACAAATGGCCAATAAGCAATATGAATAGATGCCCAGCATTGTAATCATTAGGGAAATGCAAATCAAAACCACAATGAAATACCACACCCATTAAGGATAGTTACTATTTAAAAAAAACGAAATTAACACAAGTATATGGAGAAATTCAAATGTTTGTGTACTATTGGTGGGAATGTATAGTGGCATAGCTGCTATGGAAAACATTATGGGGTTCTTGAAAAAATTAAAAATAGAATTACTGTATGACCCAGCAGTTCCACTTCTGGGTATATAGCCAAAAGAATTGAAAATATAATCTCGAAGAAATATTTGCACACCCAGGTTCCTTGCAGCACCATTCACAATAGCCAGTAGGTACAAGCAACCCAACTATACACTGGTGAGTGAATGGATAAACAAAATGTGGTATATACATACAATAGAATATTATTCAGCCTTAGAAAGGAAGGAAATTCTGACACATGCATGGATGAACTTTGAGGAGATTATGCTAAGTGAAATAAGCCAGTTACAAAAAGACAAATACTATATGATTCCACTTAGGAGGTATCTGCATAAGTCACAAAATAGAAACAAAGTAGAGTGGTGGGCTGAGGGAAGGGGGAAATGGGGAGTAGTTGTTTAATGGGAATAGAGTTTCAGTTTTGCAAGATAAAAAAGTTCTGATTGAGACAGGTGCACAATAATTCCAAGTTAACATAGCTACCTTTATTTGCTATTTATATTATATATGTGTTAATTGGCTTTCTGGTATTAAAATATGAAGGATTTACCCTTTGCTTGGTTATACTTTACAGGAAGGCTGAAGTTACATTGGATGGAGTTTGGCCAACAGATAAAACATCTCGTTGTTTAATAAAGAGCCCAGATCGCCTTGCTGATATCAACTATGAAGGGAGATTGGAAGCAGTTTCAAGGAAACAGGGAGCTCAGTTTAAAGAGTACCGGCCTGAAACTGGTTCTTGGGTGTTTAAGGTATAGTCACTTAACTCATTTTTGAGTTTTATAAACTGTAGTTGGAGTCACAACATGTTTGTGTTGGAAGAGATCCTCTCTTAAATTCTCTTTGTTTTTATAAATTAGAAAACAGATGTAGAGATCAACATTTGCTCATGTGGGTTGATGCAGAGTAAATGATTTGCTCCAAATTACATTCCTAGTTAGAACTCAGCAACAATGAACCATTATAAACTCTGCGGACACATGATTCAAGTCCTCTACCCCTTCCTGTGAGCATTTAGATACATTTCCAAGATGTGTTTTTTTCTAATGTGTATCATCATCAGAAACTTCAGTAATTCATTAGGCAGAATTCTTTGTCTCTTTGTTCTCTCTCCCTTTTTTCTTTCTTTTTTTCTTAGGGTAATGCTGCAATATTGCACGGACAGATATTGTGGAAGCTTCCGAAAAGAACAATGTTAAAATTTATTTTGTTGGGCTTTTCTCTTCCTTAGGTCTCCCATTTTTCTAAGTATGGCCTTCAGGATTCTGATGAAGAGGAGGAGGAGCATTCATCCAAAACTAGTACGAAGAAGTTGAAGACTACCCCTTTGCCTCCTGCAGGCCAGGCTGCCCCTTTCCAGATGGCTGTTAATGGCAAACCTGCACCTCCACCCCAGGTAGAGAAAGGACAGTGAATTTGAATGGAATCCGTGATACAGAAGTTGAAACCAAGTCATGCAGCTAAAACAAAGCTGTTTTATGACCGGTGGAACTTTGAAGAGTACAAATGTATTGCCAGTCTCTTGAGACAAGTACAAGGGAGGGTGCGAGGTGGTGCAGGCACCTGTCTTTTATTTAAGAGATTTAAAGAATTCTTTTGCTGTTTTGGATCATTCCTCTTGAGATTGTCATTCTTAAACACCTCCCCCTCTCTCATTTGGACTTGATGAATTATCTGCTCAGTGATCAACATTTGCTCATGTGGGTTGATGCAGAGTAAATCCTACATTTATTGACTACCTGATGTGCAGTTTAATCTTTTTCTTTACCTCCATGGTTTTAAAAAAATTAAATTAACTTTCTGCAAAGGTTTTTAACTCCATTTTCTTAAGTTGTTTGCTAATACTTAAGGTAACCTCTTGATGTTTTATTTTATCAATACATAATTTTTATGAAAATTGATAGTTTTGGAATGTAAATGAATTATTTGGCTTGGGGAGAGTAGGGACTACATTGTTGATTACAATTATTTGTATCATTGATATGGGATTTCTTTGTAAAGCATCCTCTACCTCTCAGCTGCTAAAAGCTGGACCTTCAGAATTTTCCATGCTACAGTTCTTTGGCTGTTGAAATATGTGGTTTTTATTTATTGAATAATCTCTTTAGAGTCATTTTCTGGAGAATGCATGTATGTATGTTCATGTTTGCATGTACCAGGTGAGGGAGGGTGGAGGGTGGAGGATAAATGTGGGAAACTGGAACTATGTTGACTTTTATGTTTATAATCTTGGTGGTATTTAGAATGCCCCTAAGAAATTTCCACTGCACTAATTAAATGCTGTAAATAGACTTCGTTTTCCAGTTATCCATGTTCATTTCATCTGAATCATGTCTTTTATTTTTCTTTCCTAAGTGTTTTTTGACCTTACATTTTATACATTTCTTAGGAAAAGTGTCAGATGGCCTTATTTTCTAATAAAAGTAATATGTAAGGACCCTAAAGAAACCTCTTTTCCAGTTAGTCCAGCTGGAAAAGAAAAGTTTCCTCTGTGGACAGGAAAATTTATGTAGTCTTGATAATCAGTAGTTATCAGGTTCTTTAATTGCCAGAATACAAATACTAGAAAATAACTATAAATTTCTATAATGACACTTGTGAAGGCAAAACCTCTTTGAAAAACTAAGCACCAAAAAATTTCAGAACAACAGGGTTCTAGCAAAAAGAGAGGTGGTGAAGAATCAAAATGGGCAAATAGGATATAGCTTTGATTGAGGAAGTGAATGGTCTTTGACCTTTCAGACGGGGAGAGGAGAAATGAGGGAAATGGTTAGAGGTGTTCAGATATCCAGACTTTATGTTTTATTTACTTTGATTATTTATGAAGACCTTAAGCTTGATGTGTTAGAGCAGTTAGGTGGGACTCTAGAGAACTCTCCATTCATATTGCTTAGTGACCTAGGTAAGGTAGATGGGAAATGCCAGTGGTTTGTTATTAGTACCAAAGACCCTACATTTTACTTAGCATGGGGAAAATCCTTGAGCCATCTGAGTGAATTAAGAGCAGACAGCACAGTGTTCTCATCCCGGTGTCCAGATGACTATCTGAGCACTGTTACCTGGCCCCTTGGAGGGGTTGATTTCACATGACAACCTCAGGCTCTTTAACTTTTTCTGGAGGAAATAGGGGTATGTCTTTAGGTATTTAGCAAGATTTGCTGTTTTGTTTAATGGTCACATTTATTCTTCTGCCTTTTATATAATCTCCATAGTCCTCTGTTACCATTTGGTTCTTAAGCTTTACTTTTGCTCCTAAAAGAGCAAGTCAATCTAAGCAACTGGAAAACAAAGGTAACTAAATTTTCATGTGATCTTCTCTCCTATGTCTTTTAGGTTAGAGAAAATGTTGGCAGATAGAACTTAGTCACACAGAAGAATTAAGGTAGTTGCAGAAATATTTCGTCCTATAGTTTGAACATTAGCTTCAAAATCCTGGTCTCAGATCCAATTTCCAACTGGCTACATCAATACCCTGGTGAGCTTGACTTCAATTCCATAGATCTGACATGGGGCTCAGGCATATTTATAGTTTATGCTTCTCCCAGTGATTGAAATGTGCAGCCAGGTTTCAAAACTGTTTGTTGAAAGACCTTAGGCCTTTGGCACTCAGAGATATGTGTAGCTTTTTACCTCAGCCTTAGAACTGAAGTGTGTAACTTGTATTCAGTACCATGGAGGCAGGCTAGTTCACTTGGTCAGAAACTTATTTTTTATTTAATTTAATTTTTTTTTTTTTTTTTTTTTTTGAGACAGAGTCTCGCTCTGTTGCCTAGGCTAGAGTGCCATGGCGTCATCCTAGCTCACAGCAACCTCCAACTCCTGGGCTCAAGCGATCCTCCTGCCTCAGCCTCCCAAGTAGCTGGGACTACAGGCATGCACCACCATGCCCAGCTAATTTTTTCTATATATTTTTAGTTGTCCAACTAATTTCTTTCTATTTTTTAGTAGAGACGGGGTCTCGCTCTTACTCAGGCTTGTCTCGAACTCCTGAGCTCAAACGATCCGCCCGCCTCTGCCTCCCAGATTGCTAGGATTACAGGCGTGAGCCACCGCACCCGGCCTGGTCAGAAACTTAGCATTGTTCAGTCAGTGAATTCACTGTTCAAATAAGTTAAAACCTTTTTTTCCTTTCTTTTTTTTTTGCCAACATGTCAAAAAGAACCTTTATTACTTTTATAATAGCCTCTTAAGCTTTCTTGCCAGATGCCTTTGGAGCAGATGCTTTCTGGGCTGGAGCTTTTTGACCCTTCTGAGTTTTCAGAAGAGGCCTTCTGGCCTGTGGCTTTCTGGGCTGGAGCCCTCTTGCCTGCAGTGGTCATCTTTTTTGCTGAAATGTTAGCAGCAGCTGCTGCAACTCCAGCAGCAACCTTAGCAGGTGATTTCTTAGGAGAAGCTTTCAGGAGAGCTGCCTTTTGAAGCATCTTAACATCATTCTTGATTATTCTGTTCCTCATTTTCTTTGCCTTCATGACTTTAAAACGATCAAAATCTGTCATCTTAGCTTACTTTCTCTGGCTCCAATCTTCTTGGCCCATCTGTGGCTGCCCGCTTTGTATTTATATCTGTTTACTGCCAGGCTTCTTGGGCATACTTCTGACAGGCACTGTTTGGGAACTTGAGGACGAAGTCAGTGAGCTGCATGCATTTGAAAGGCTTTTTCTTACCTGAATGCAAGGTCCTTCAACCAAAGCCCTTTTCTGATCAATAACATCTACAGTCATGTCCAGCTTTCCAGCATGAGTCCCAAAGGAGACGTAGGCCACTTGGCCAACCTCCATGAATAGCCTCATCACCACACACTGCGCAAAACCCTCTGGGCACCATTGCACACCTCAGCTCCCCTGCCAAGGCAGAGATCGAGTGGCATGGTGACCAGACCTGGAGCTCGGAACAGCAAGACTCCTAAAAGCTTTTTTCTTTTTTTTTTTTTTTTGAGACAGAGTCTCACTCTTTTGCCCAGGCTAGAGTGAGTGCCGTGGCGTCAGCCCTGCTCACAGCAACCTCAAACTCCTGGGCTCAAGCGATCCTTCTGCCTCAGCCTCCCGAGTAGCTGGGACTACAGGCATGCACCACCATGCCCAGCTAATTTTTTCTATATATTTTTAGTTGTCCGTTAATTTCTTTCTATTTTTTAGTAGAGACGGGGTCTTGCTCTTGCTCAGGCTGGTTTTTAACTCCTGAGCTCAAACAATCGGCCTCCCAGAGTGCTAGGATTACAGGCGTGAGCCACCGTGCCCATGCCTAAAAGCTTTTTTAAAGAAAAAAAGTAATTAGGATTTAGAAGAAAATTCTATTTCATTTTGCATATACTTTGATTTGAAATGGCAGCTATCTAAATTGATTCAATGAATCAATATTTTAATATAATTTATATTACAGATATAATTTTATAGCCACAAGGTTATTTGTTTCAGATATTATTGAAGGAAAGATTGATTTTCTTAATGTATTGGCATGAAAAATATTTTGCAAATTAATATAAAAATAAAATATAAAGTTATTAATGTTAAGACCTATGCCTCTTTCAAATTGTTGGTGGACAAAAACAAAACCAAACCTATGCCCCTTGCAGTAATATCCCTGAGTGTGTATGTGTAGAAAATATACACTCTTCCCTTGGTGGGCCTTTCAAACCCTAACACAGAATTTCTCTTGAGGAGAACATGCTATTGTTGACAGGGATGATTTTTAAGGAAAATATAAAACACTTTGCTAGGTGCAATCCTAGCACTTTGGGAAACTGAGGTGGGAAGATTTCTTGAGGCCAAGAGTTCAGACCAGCTTGAGCAACAGTGAGACCCTGTCTCCACAAAAAAACAGAAAAATTAGCTGGGTGTAGTGGCACACACCTGTAGTCCCAGCCACTTGGGATATTGAAGCAAGAGGATCGTTTGAGCCCAGGAGTTTAAGGTTGCAGTGAACTATGATGAAGCCACTGTACTCTAGCTAGGGCAGCACAGCAACACCCTGTCTCAAAAAAAAAAGAAAAAAAAAATATATACATAAAGATTTTTTACAGTTAGAAAATAAGTTATTTTGAGTTGTACAACAGTAGTAGTTATGTTGGATCAAAGTATTTGGCTTAGAGGGCAATGTGAATTATTTTAAACGTCTGTTTGACCTTGGACTGATCATTTATTCTGTTGAATAAGAGTATCTTGATATATCTCACTTTTCCTACTGAATTAAGAGATGCCGTACCTTTAAGGTCTTGGCAGCCTCATTCAACTGAGGAAGGTTTCTTCGAGTGGGAGAGTAGAGGTTTCTCAAGTCACTGAAGGTTTCAGTTGTGAGACCTCACCCCCCATATATTTAGACAGTCATTTTATAGATATTATCTGTATAATTAGGATTTATAATGTGCTGTGTGGTTATTTAGAAATAAGTAAGATATCCTATCTTTAAGAGATTACACTGAATAGGAAAGGAAGAGTTAATATGATATCCCAGTTTCTTCCAGTACAGGCCTTTCTTTTCCATAAATCTCTCAGTAGGCTTTTTTCCCATCTCCTCAGTTCCTTCTATGCCATCACATTGTTTTTTATTTTAGTCCACTTTTCTTTCCAGGACTGGCTTTAAGGACGCTCTTGATCTGCCAAGACTACCCTGAAAATAAGTACATCTTTTTGGGGAGTTTATTGCAATTACTTAGATAAACTTTACAAAATTCACATATAAGGGGTTCTAAGAGCTTATTATAGTTTCATAGTAATTCTCTCCCCCCTTGCCCACCTATCAGATGTTATCTTGTAGTCTGTGTGTGAGTGGAGTAAATAAAACCTTGATCTTTAGCATTCTTCCTAAAGATATGCTGAGTCCCTTAGGTCTCTAATCTAGATATTTGATGGAATCATCTCATTTTGCATAAAAGTATTCAAGGTGAGCATCTCTTGCTATTGGTAGTATTCTATTGTTGAGTAGGATAGTGAATTGGAGCCTTCCTTCTCCCTTCTTCCTTTTTTCCCACCCATCCTCACTCCTTCTTGTCTTTTCATAGTTATTAATTGCTTTCTCTACTGTGTGCCAGGCACTGCATTAGGCAGTAGAAATAACTGTTCAGTAAATATTGAACTTAATGATGTGCTTGGTGTTAGATACAGAGAACAGCCATAAAACCTGTTTTTAAGCCTTGACAATTTGGTGAGCCAACCATATATATGTACGGAGAAATTATAATACATCATGATACACGGTATAAAATAAATATAAACAGGGTATTGTTGGAGCCAAAAACAGTAGGGTATCCTAACCAACAAGTTGGCAGAGGATGGGGAGTATCAGAACTTTAAAGTTGAATTGTTTGGTTAAAAACTAACATAATAGGGAGCTTATGAAGTAAAACTTTCCCACAGTTCTTACAATTATGTGGTTAGTAAGTATCAAATGCCCCATTCCCTTAAGTGCTAAATTTGACAGCTATCTCTGACATTTCATTTGGATACTTTTTGTTTTTTTTCTCTTTATTGTGAAGGTACATTCTCTTTCAAATGCACAGTCTTTCAAATGCACATTTTGGCTTGTGATTATCTTTCACATTTTTTTAGAACAATTTTTGTGAAACTGTGGATTAGTCAAAAATTTGTGCCATTTTCAAATATGAGTTCTATTGTGGAACCAATGTAGTGCAGACAGCGCAAAGTATCAACCAAATGTTTGGGAAGGATGTGGCTAATGAACATACCATGCAGTGATGGTTTGAGAAGTTCTGTTTTGATGATTTTATTCTTGAAAATGAGCCACATTGCCAACCTACCACCAAGGTGGATAATGATGAGCTGAAAGCTATAGTGGAAGCGAATCCATCTCAACCTATGCGTGAATTAGCAGCAGGGTTTGACATTACTATTCCAACATTATCGGACCATTCAAAACAAATGGGCAAGGTAAAGAAGCTGGATAGATGGGTACTTCATGAATTAAATGAGCGTCAGAAGAGAAATCGTCTTGAAGCTTGCCTTTCTTTGCTGTTGCGACATAAAGGCGAACCATTTCTACTCCATATTGTTACGTGTAATGAAAAATGGATTATTATGGGCAATCACAAGCGTTTGGCACAATGGTTGGATAAAGATGAAGTGCTGAAACACAGTCCAAAACTGAGTATTCATTCATCAGAAAAAGCTAATAATGTGTGTTTGGTGGTCCAGCGCTGGTATTATCCACTACAGCTTCATGAAATATGTTCAGTTGATTACCGTGCATGTCTTCTGCAACCAACTGGACGAAGTGATGAGGATGCTTGTGATTAAGCAGCCAAAATTGGTCAATAGAGACAAGCCAATCACATGTTGCAAAAAACAACACTGCTCAAACTACAGAAGCTAGACTTGGAAACTCTTTGTCATCCTTCATATTCACCAGACCTTGCACCAACTGACTACCACTTCTTCCAGGCTTTGGATCACTTCTTGCAAGGAAAAATGTTCAGTTCTCAACAAGGTGTGGAAAACGCCTTTTGCGATTTCATTGCTACTTGCTCTCCAGGCTTCTTCACTGCTGGCATAAACAAGCTACTATTAAGATCAAAACTGTGTCGATAGTTTAGGTCCATACTTTGGTTAATTGTACTGCTTCTTGTTTGAGGTATAATAAACCAGTGGTCCCGAACCTTTTTGGCACCAGGGACCAGTTTCATGGAAGACAATTTTGTCACAGACCCAGGGAGGAGGGGGATGGTTTGGGGATGATTCAAGTGCATTACATTTATTGTGCAGTCAAACCTCTCTGCTAATAATTTGTACTTAAAGCCACTCCCCAGCACTAGCATCACCACCTGAGCTCCACCTCACATTATCAGGCATTATATTCTCGTAAGGAGTGTGCAACCTAGATCCCTCTTGTGTGCAGTTTACAATAGGGTTTGCATTCCTATGAGAATCTAATCAGCCACTACTGATATGAAATGAGGTGGAGCTTATGCCATGATGCGAACAATGGGGAGCAGCTATAAATACAGATGAAGCTTCACTCACTTGTTCACGGCAGCTCACCTCCTGCTGTGTGGCCCACCAGGTTCCTAACAGGCCACGGAGTTGGCCTGGGGGATGGAGGCTGCAGTAATACAGAGGCTACACTTTGGACTTGAAATCGGACATTTCATATTTAATGACATAAAATGAGAGCATCATTACGGGGCTTTTTTCCCATTCAGGATTTTAAAGCATAGAAGTAGTCAAATCTGCCTGTAGCCTCACCATGTGCTAAGAAATAGTATCATGTTTGCCTTTTAACCATTATCTAGCCTCTAGTTTTGTTAGAGCAGTTATTGGAAATTGCTCACATCTTAAGTGGCAGTGTCCCCACCTCAATTTTTCTGCAGTTGTACATGGGAGCACTCATTCTTTAAGCAAAGATACTTGTTAAAAGAATGAAGGGCAGTGATAGCTAACATCCAATTCAAGGTGATAATGCGAAAGTTACACTAATGGTGGTTGCTTTGTCCAAAGAGATCATGAAAACCTTTTTTTTTTAACTACCTATTGTAAAATAGCATCTATTTGAGGTTTAGCATGAAATAGACTGCTTGTGAAAGGTAAGCCTGAAATCATGGAAGGATAATAATCTGCAAATGAAATTATGGTTAGAAAAGTAATTGATAGAACTTTTTGGTTTGAAAATGTTTCATAAATTGGCTCAGTCATTTGTTAGTATTTTACTAGGTCATATGTGACTTCAGGACATAGGTATTGGATTTGTACTGAACCAGTTATTTTACTCAGCTTTACTGAGTAAAATACTCAGTAAAGCTTACTCAGCTTTATGAGTATTTACGCTTTCAAACTGTAAAGTATTAGTCATGGTTATAGCTTTAAAACTGCTTAATAACTCTTGACATTTTTAAACATAAAGGCATTATTTCTAGATAAAAATTGTTCCCAGTATTATTTGTTTTTACTTTTGGCAAATTAGAGTGACATTCCTCTTATCTTATATGGTACTGCACAGGTAGAGCCCAGCTAACCTTAGGGTTCAGTCATCCAAAAGATAAATTCCAGACCCAAAATTGTATTAACTAGAAAGTTATTTGTAATTGTTTTCTTTAAGAAAATGTGAAGTTACTGGAGACATTGGTATTTGTACCTCTTTCTCCAGTGGCTTCTGGCTACACAGTAGCATGAGGGCAGGGTGACCCTTGCTAGCTAAATCCTGTGAGGCATAGTTTTTGTGTCTGAAGACCACCATTTGTTTCAGTATGGGTGCTTGGTTAGGTCCCAGATACCATATCATATTACAAAAGGATAATTCCATGAATCTTCATTTGGATTCCAAGGATGAGGTTGTTTGGGGGCAATTGATCTTAAATCACTCTTTAGCAAATCTGCTACCTCAACTAACAATAAACTGGACAGAATCTAATATTGCTATATCATATTCTGAATAAACTGATCTAGAAGCTCTGTGTCTATTTGGTATAATTTAATGCTGCTTTCCTGATCTTTTTGCTGTCTACAGAGTCAGAGCCCAGAGGTGGAGCAGTTAGGGAGGGTTGTGGAACTGGACAGTGACATGGTAGATATCACCCAGGAGCCAGTTTTGGATTCCATGTTAGAAGAGAGCATGCCTGAGGATCAGGAACCTGTGTCTGCCTCGACACATATTGCATCTTCACTGGGAATTAATCCACATGTCTTACAGGTGAAGTTCTAACCCACCTTTATTATGACAGAATGCCAAACTAGTATTTTATCTCCCTTGCGTAACATCAGGTCTCTTCCCTGATAATTCACTTAAGACCATCGAGAGTGCTCACTGTAATAAAAAAGGGGAAAAAAAAAAACAAAAACAGAGGAATAGGGCCAATATTTGAGCCTCATTTTCCCATTCAGAGAGGGAAAGGTATGTTGAGAATCGGAAGACAGGGCTTCTAGATTTAACTGCATTAGAATCAGAAGACCTATTTCTAATCCTAGTTTATAACTTTATTATTGTATGACTTTAGGCATGTCATTTAATATCTGTGAGCACTGATTTTTCTCTAACATATGTGTCTACTTCACAGGTTAGTTTTGAAGCTCCGTAAAGTGCTCCACAAAATTTAAAAAACCTGGTGGACACAGGTTTTGTTAAGCTTTGTCTTTAATTTCCGCTGCCAACGCCTTTTGGTATTGTGTTTAGCCTTTGGTTATGTTTGACTTTAAAATTACTCGTTTAGCAAACATAAGTGACTGCTGTGTGCTATGATTTGGTGATACTCTTTAGATACAAAGAAGAGACATATTATATTACATGATTTTTGCCCTTCAGGCACATAGAGTGTAATAGAGTCAGTCACATAAATGTTATACTAGCTCTAGATACAGCCTGGAGGAGGAGTGATATTTTTGATTGTTGTAAAGTGTGTTTTTCTTTTATAGCCTTTCTATTCTGGGGAACACATTCATTCTATAGATATTGCCTTTTTAGATCATGAAAGCATCATTGCTTGCTGACGAAGAAGATGTAGATATGGTACTTGATCAACGCTTCAGTCAACTTCCTTCCAAAGCAGATACTTCTCAAGAAATCTGTTCTCCCAGACTCCCCATTTCAGCATCGCACTCAACAAAATCTCGTTCACTAGGTACTGTATAAATTGTGCTGTTTTACAAGAAATCTGTAGAGTCACCAAGTCGTACTTTTCACGTATCTTCTAATCTCAGTGGACTTCTGTAGCAGATATCCCCCTAACAGCTGTGCCTATAACAAGAATGCTAAGAGTTGTACTCTTATAAAAATCTGTTGGGAGTAGCCAGTTTTTAAGAACCATAATTAGCTCCGTTGGTGCAGATGCAGAAGTTGTATGGAGAAAAAAGCATTTGTACTTTGTTTGGGGTCATGTTTTTGTTTGCTTATGAATGTGGATTAGATAGTAAGCTCTGATTTCCTAATTTTTATATTACATTTCGTAGAGAATTCAGCAAGCTACCCTGCACTGTACTCTTTGTGCAATCCTAACACTATCTTACTGTCTTGTAGGGACAAATGTTACTTCTCATTATATACAAAACTCATTAGAATTCTACTTTTTCCTAAAAATTTTTTAAATTCCTAGGCAGGTGATTGCATATTTTATTGTAAAGCTGCCATTTTTCTAGTGGGATTGGAGATAGAGTATTGATAACAGGAAAGGATTTAAGTAGATGTAGTTAATTTCAAAATATTTTGAAAACCAGAGGAACTATCAGAACGACATTTGTTTATGTTTCCTTAAAAAGTAAATTTTTTTCAAATTACCATTTTGTTTTGGTTAGGTGTTTTTGTTTTTGTTTTTAGAAACAGTCTCACTCTGTTGCCCAGGCTCTAGCTATCATGTCAGCCTAGCTCACAGCAACCTCAAACTCCTGGGCTCCAGCAATCCTCCTGCCTCAGCCTCCCAAGTAGCTGGGACTACAGGCGAACACTACCATACCCGGCTAATTTTTTCTATTTTTAGTAGAAACAGGGTCTCTCTTACTCAGGCTGGTCCTGAACTCCTGACCTCAAGTGATCCTCTCACCTTAGCCTTCCAGAGTGCTAGGATTACAGGTGTGAGCCACCACACCCAGCCTACCATTTTGTTTTTGTAAGCTAAACATTCCTAATAACTTTTTCCATAATGGGCACTACACAAACATCTCATACTTTGATAACTCTAACTCTATGCTTTAGACAGGAACCACGTAAAATTGAAAAACAGGCAGTAGTAAGGAGAACTGTCCTTCCGAAAGGCACATATACAATCATAAGGTACCTCAGTATGCTTTTGTTTCCTTAAGTCTATCATCGAGCATTAGAGGACACAAATTTGAGTTTTACTCTCCCCCACCCCCCTTAAATTTTTAAGTGCATGGACTTATTTTTATATGGACTAAGAAGGGGTTACATTTGGGATTCTGGATGAGAGCATGAGCATTGGTGCCAGACTTACCTGGGCTTTTCTCCCAGTCTTGTCACTTAGTACTTTTGCGGATTTGGACAAGTCACTCATCTGAGCCCAGTTTTCTCGCTTACAAAATGGGAATGATAATGATGCTTATCATTTAAAGTTATTGAAGAGTGAAATGAAATAATGTATACAAATGGCTTACATAGAGTCTACTGCAGATAAGTGCTAGATAATTTTTTAAAATGATACTTAATAGTAGTAATGTTTGTTGTTGATATTATTACTGTGTTGATATCATTATCAGAATTTCCATCTTGATTTCCTGGTTGAAAGTGATTTCTGCAAAAATCTGGTTTATGGTCATCCATATCTGATGTGATTAGTTTGTAATATCTTGCATGATTTCAGCCTTAGTGATTTTTGTTGTTGTTTTTCAAGAAACAATAGCCTGTATTTTGTAATAATCTCTTTTTCCCCTTATTTCAGTTGGTGGGTTACTACAATCAAAATTTACAAGTGGAACTTTCCTTTCACCAAGTGCCTCTGTGCAAGAATGTCGCACTCCCAGAACATCATCTTTAGTGAATATTCCATCCACATCCTTTTGGTCTGTCCCTCCACCCCTGACTGCTGTGTTTACAGTGCCCAGCCCAGCCCCTGAGGTTCAGTTGAAAACAGTGGGTACACGCAGGCAACCAGGCCTAGTCCCTCTTGAAAAGTCTGTCACCTATGGCAAGGGGAAACTCTTGATGGACATGGCCCTATTTATGGGACGCTCATTTCGTGTTGGTTGGGGCCCCAACTGGACTCTTGCTAATAGTGGAGAACAACTGAATGGCTCACATGAACTGGAAAATCACCAGACTGCTGATTCTATGGAATATGGATTCCTGCCCAATTCAGTAGCTGTTAAATCGTGAGTTACATTTCTTGATGCTTTTTGAGAAAGACAACATGATAGATGAGGAGAAAAAACTATTCATTATTAGAAGATCCAAATGTTTGTGATCTTTGTAGATATATTCTTTCCAGATATCTATTCTAGATTCTTTCTAGATATATCTATATAGGATATATATTTTCTATATATATAACAAGTAGATGTATGCCTTACAGATTATATATAAATATTAGGTTATTAACTATGGAATGTTCAATTTCCTTAAGTACTAAGTTTGATAGTTGATACCTCTGACATTTCACGTTCACACTTCTTTTTTTTTTTTTTGTGAGGGTATATCCTCATTCTTTCAGATACACATTTTGGCTTGTGATTATCTTTCACGTTTTTTTTAGAGCAGTTTTTGTGAAACCATAGATAAGTCAAAAATTCATGTTATTTTCAAATACAAGTTCCATTGTGCAACAAATGCAGCGCAGACAGCTCGAAGTATCAACCAGTGTTTGGGAAGGATGTGGCTAATGAACACACAGTACAGCAATGGTTTGAGAGGTTCCGTTCTGGTGATTTTAATCTTGAAAATGAAAAAAAAAAAAAAAGAAAAAGAAAATGAGCCATGTGGGTGACCTGAGACCAAGGTGGATAATGATGAGCTGAAAGCTGTAGTGGAAGCAAATCTGTCTCAACCTATGCAGGAATTAGCAGCAGGGTTTGACATTACTATTCCAACAGTATCGGACCATTCAAAGCAAATGGGCAAGGTAAAGAAGCTGGATAGATGGGTACTTCATGAATTAAATGAGCATCAGAAGAGAAATCGTCTTGAAGCTTGCCTTTCTTTGCTGTTGCGACATAAAGGCGAACCATTTCTACTCCATATTGTTACGTGTAATGAAAATGGATTATTTTGGGCAATCACAAGCGTTTGGCACAATGGTTGGATAAAGATGAAGTGCTGAAACACAGTCCAAAACTGAGTATTCATTCATCAGAAAAAGCTAATAATGTGTGTTTGGTGGTCCAGCGCTGGTATTATCCACTACAGCTTCATGAAATATGTTCAGTTGATTACCGTGCATGTCTTCTGCAACCAACTGGACGAAGTGATGAGGATGCTTGTGATTAAGCAGCCAAGATTGGTCAATAGAGACAGACCAATCCTCTTGCAAGATGACATGTTACAAAAAACAACGCTGCTCAAGCTACAGAAGTTGGACTTGGAGCCTCTCTGTCATCCACTGCATTCACCAGACCTTGCACTAACTGACTACCACTTCTTCCAGGCTTTGGACTACTTCTTGCAAGGAAAAAGATTCAATTCTCAACAAGCTGAGGAAAACTCCTTTTGCAATTTCATCGCCACTTGCTCTCCAGGCTTCTTTGCTGCTGGCATAAACAAGCTACTAGTAAGATGGCAAAACTGGGTCAATAGTTTAGTCCCATATTTGATTAATTGTACTGCTGCTTGTTAGAGACATAATAAACTATACTTTTGATTCAAAATCAGACATTTCATATTTAATGACCTAATATTTCTTTTAATTATCAATCATTATAAAGTGTCGTATGTAAAACATGTAACATTTTCTTATTTACTTTTTATAACAAATTGTGCCATCTTTACTATAGATTAAATGAAGATGATCGTCTGTTATCCTTCGTTTTTAAAGTTAACTTTGAAAAAATAAAAACAACATCTCTTGAATCTCACAATTAGGAATATTGATTTTAAACTTACTGGTTAAGCATGATGATCTTATGGTATTTTGGAAGTTGTTAATATCAAGATTAAAATTGGATCAAGGCCAGATTGACTATATGTTTATCTTAATTTAGAATCAATTCTTTAGTATCTACAAACTTAGCCTCATTACTGTTGATACCTAAGTATAATCTGAGAAACAAGTATCACACAGTAACTTCTGCACCTTGGGTTTTTTTTTTTTCTTTTTTCCTTGGTTTCTTGTTTAGTTGTTGGAGGTTGAATATTGAACTGGACCTTGCATTTTTAGAGTTATGCTATTAAGATACATGCTGAAGCCACTTCCAAATCTAACTATACTGAATTCCGTGTTTGTTATTACCTGGCCTAAGAAGCCTTTGGGTTCTTTTTTTTTTTTTTTTTTTTTGAGACACAGTCTCGCTCTGTTGCTCTGGCTAGAGTGCCATGGCGTCAACCTAGCTCACAGCAACCTCAGACTCCTGGGCTCAAGTGATCCTTCTGCCTCAGCCTCCCAAGTAGCTGGGACTACAGGCATGCGCCACCATGCCCGGCTAATTTTTTCTGTATACTTTTAGTTGTCCAGCCAATTTCTTCCTATTTTTAATAGAGACAGGATCTCGCTCTTGCTCAGGCTGGTCTCAAACTCCTGAGCTCAAACGATCCTCCTGCCTCGGCCTCCCAGAGTGCTAGGATTACAGGCATGAGCCACTGCGCCCAGCCGCCTTTGGGTTCTAAATGTGTAGGTCAGATAATTTATTTACTCAGTATATAGCAGACAAGTTCAGTATAGTATGATGTTAGGAAACAACATTTTTTTAAAATCACAGTGACGTGTTTTGCATTCTGTTTGTAATCATAAAAAGAAACAAAGATTTGGTTCAAGGGAAATCCTAGCTTCTGTCTTGTCTTCATTTTCTATCTTGTTCCTCATTTGCTCTTGTAGCCTAACTGAGTCACCATTCAAAGTTCATTTGGAAAAACTCACTTTGAGACAAAGGAAGCTGGATGAAGACCTGCAGTTATACCAGATACCTCTCGAGCTCAAGTTAAAACATAGCACCGTTCATGTAGATGAACTGTGTCCTCTCATTGTCCCTAATCCGGGAGTTGCTGTCATTCATGACTATGTAGATTGGATCAAGGAAGCATCAGGAGATTTATTGGAAGCACAGAGTGAGTATGCACACACTAAGCGTCTTACTTTTGATATCTCTGGAATGGGGGTAGTAGCATGTGTTCATAGGAGGACAGATTTCCTTACATCAGTCCAATAGGTAGATGACTGAGCTTTACCTTTTCCGTAGGCGTTTGAATAAGCAGAATCCCAACAAAAAGAAATTGTCACTGTGTTGTTATCATCATGTTTTCCCTTTAATATACAAATCGTTCCTCAGACTGTAGGCAGTCAAATCCCTTAGATTTATGAAATTGCATTCCTTTCCTAACCCTAGAACATAGGGAGAGAGAGATTCATTTCTTCTTTTTCTAAATCCTACCCATTCTTCCATGTCCAGCTCAAGCCCTATTTGTATTCCCAAACAACTTTGTTATAATTTCCCTTCCTGACTTCTCCCGCTATTACTTCTGTTTTGACCATATTTTTTTGAGTCATTACTTAAAGTGTTTTTCTAATTTGTGAAGTTAATATTTCAAACAGAAAAATCATTTAATTACACATTTAGCAGAAATCATCTTTACTGAAAAACAGAGACTTTTAGAATGTCCAATACCACACGTTGGGACTTATTTATGTTCAGACCTTATGTTTGCTTTGTTGTCCCATCTTTTCAAATGTGTAAGTTATTTTCCCAGTGCTACTGGTAAGTGGCTTGAAGTGATAAGCAGTGCTTTCTTTTTGTTTCGTTTCTTGAGGGGCAATATGGCGAAGTACTTAAGAGAATGGAATTGGACTTTGAATACTTGTATTCAGATTCTGGCTCTGCTACATAACTCTTTGTGCTTTGTGCAGTGTCAGCTAAACTCAGTAAATGTTAAGCCGTGCCTGTATCAGGAGAGAATACTCCTTTACAAGTTTTTAGAGCACTTTACATTTCCTAAAGCATTTTGTAGATAAAATATGATCAAATTAGAGGATCTTCTACCATCTGAGATGGTATTAGCCATAATTAGGCTAGGGGAGCCTGTTTAAAGGAGCGTAGAGTTGTATCTTGTTTTGTAAGCACCACAGAAACCTGGAGTGAGCAAGCAGTTATACCATATACCTCTAGAACTTGTAAGACAAAGCTGAGTGAGATAGAGACAGATTCAGGTTAATCAACTTGAGTGGTGGCTTGGGATGTTGATTAATTTATATATTTTTTAAACATCACAATTAGAGTGATGCCCTCTCTGAAGTTATTATAAGAATTTGTGTCATAGCATTGTTTTTCTGTCTCTGCCTTAGTTGTGAAGCACTGGAGCCTGACATGGACATTATGTGAAGCCCTTTGGGGCCATCTGAAGGAGCTTGACAGCCAGCTGGATGAACCCAGTGAATACATTCAAATTCTGGAGCGACGAAGAGCTTTCTCTCGCTGGCTATCCCACACTGCTGAACCTCAGATTGAAGAGGAAGTCTCCTTAACCAAAAAAGATAACCCTGTGGAGGCTGTCTTCAGCTACCTCACGGGCAAGAGGATCAGTGAGGCCTGCTCTTTGGCCCAGCAGTCAGGTAGGGAATATGGTTCTTTCTGTAACCCTGCCCGCTTCCTACTCACTGTCTTCTACCTTCTAATTGTGGATTTGCCTTTGTCTTCTAACCTGTGAATATTAAGTGTGACCTTCCCTCCCAGGAAGATGCTGGTTCCTCCAGAATAGGGCCTGTGTATTCTAGTTATCTTTTTAGAACCTTAAACATTAAATTTACTTAACTAAAATTATTTTAATTTTATGTTATGTATGCATTTGCAATCAAACTAGAAAATGGAGAGATAAACAAGAAGCAATAAATCAAAACCACCTAAATCCTATGACTACTACTAACTGCAAACATTTCAGTGTGCAATTTGTACTTGACTCTTTCTTTTGTAGTACATAAACTATATATAAATATATTCACGCAGTACAACATGCATGTAAATGTTTCAAAGATGGTATATCCTGCTATGTACTGTATTCTGTTATTTTCATCTAACACATTAAAAATGCCCTATAATATAGCTATAGTTATCAAATGCTTCTCAGCATTCTTTTGTGTATAAATGTACCATATTAGCAAATTCTTTCTTTGACATCGAGACTGTTTTTTTTTTTTTTCTTTTTTTTCTATGTGGTACTCTGAACATCTATAAACATACCTTTTGTATCAGTTCACTTATTTCATTCAAATAAACATGTAGTAGTTTAATTTCTGGCTTGAGGTATTTACTTGGCTTTGTTTTTTTAAAGGACTTCCCATACATATATTTGAACTTTTTTTGGTTTCCCTTTCACTAATGAGGCATTCAGCAAGTGTTTAATGACTATCTAGACATTAATCTTAATAAGAATACATAGTTCAACATAATCTAATATAATTAGATCCTTGATCAGACCTTATTTGTTGGAACCTAGTTTATCCAAAGCCAACTGATTGGATCCATCAACTGGATTTATTTTGGAAGGCTTGGCCAATTTTGGGATTATAAGGAACAAATCACAAGAAAAGCTAGGTTCAGTAACCTACATAAATGGCCAGTTGCATTTCCACTATCACTACACATTTAGCTCAGTGCCATTCATGGTCCTTGTACATTTGTACTATGAGAATTTGTCTTCAGGATTGATCTTCTATAAAATTACGATGATTGTAAATCATTAAAAGGATAGTGTTATGCTCACCACAACACCTACATGTAGTGGGAGAGGATCTTCTAGAGTGCTAGAAGTTGAATGTAGAAAACATGAACAATACTATCAACTAACTTTACCTGACATGTATCTAGCAAGAAGAAAGACTTCAAATCAATAACCTAAGCTTCCACTTTAAGAAACTAGAGAAAGAAGAGCAAACTAAACCCAGAGGTAGCAGAATGGGGGAAATAATGAAGATTAGAGTAGAATCAATGAAAAGAAAAACATAAAAATAATACAGTAAATCAGTAAAGGCATTAAGATCCTTAAAAAGATCTTCACTCAAAAGCCCAGACCCAGATTTCTTCACTGTGAAACGTTATATAATTAAACAAGAAATAATACCAATTCTCCACAAACTCACAGAAAGTAGACATGGGAGCACTTTCTAGCTCATCCTATGATGCCATTATTACCCTGATTTCAAAGCATATCTAACAAAAAATCTATAGGTGATATCATACTTAATGATAAAAAACTGAACGGCTTCCACCTAAGATTGGGAACCACCATTTATGTACAACATTGTAATGGATGTTGTAGCCAGTTCAAGCAAGAAAAAGAAACAAAAGTCATATAGATTAAAAAGAAAGGTATAGAATTGTCTTTATTCACAGATGGCATGATTCTGTATGTGGACAGAATCCGCAAAAAAAGTACTTGGACTAATTAACTCAGCAAGGTCCCAGGATTCAAGGTCAATATACAAAATTCAATTGTGTCTCTCTATATTAGCACAAGTTATCCAAAAATGAAATTAAGAAAAACAGTTCCATTCACAGCAGTATCAGAAAGAATAAAGTACTTAAGGAATAAATGTAACAGAAAAATTGTAAAACTCACATACTGAAAACTATAAAACTTTGCTGGGGAAATAAAGATCTAAATAAGTTAAGAGACATTCCAGGTTCATGGAATATGTCTCAACCTCAATACTCTTTGGCATTTTGGGCTGATAATTCTTTGTTGTGGGGGTTGTCCGGGGCATTGTAAGATGTTTAGCAACATCCCTGCTTTATGCCGTCTTGTTTTGATAGCCAAAGATGTTTCCAGAAATTCATTGCCAAATCTCACTTGAAGGGCAAACCACCCTGGTTGAGAGACACTGATTCACTGAAAACCTCAGTATTTTTAAGATGTCTTTTCTCCCTCAAATCTATACATTCAGTGCAGTACCTACTAAAGTCTTCATCAGGTGTTTGTGTAGAAATTGAAAACTGATCTTTATTTGGAAACATAAAGAATCTTATTTGCAAATGTTCAGTCGGAATACTCAACATTTTCTAATTTTGAAACTTAATAAAGTTGTGGCAATCAAGACAATAAGGATGGATAAGTTTCAGTGGAACAGAAATGAGAATCCAAACATAAAACTGTTTCCCTTACAGACAATTGATTTTTATTTACAAAGTTGCCAGGACGATTTAAATGTGGAAAGGATAGTCTTTTAAACAAATAATGCAGGGATTGTTGATATTCACATACAACAAAGGTGAATTTAGATTCTTACCTCATGTCATACTCAAAAATTTACTTGAGAAAGCACTATAGAATTCTGCCGTTTTTCTCTTCATTCGGAAAGTCTGTGTGGAAAGTCAAGGATTGACAGAAGCTGATTGGTTGACTAATCAATCAATTGCTTGATGATTGTAGCCAAGAGAGATGATCTTAAATGATTGCATCAAGCTGTGATATACCAATATCCTCTTCGAACTTGACCATCTCTAATGAGCAAGATACTTATATTTTTTGACCAATAAACATTCTCTTTTTGGTTCTATAGACACACAGAAATATTCTTTTTCCTTTTTTCCTTTATTATTAGTCACCTAGGATACTAGCAGATCATAGCCAGGTGGGTTGCAGCACCATGAATTATAGTTCAGTCATGCTTGGTTACCTGTATGCAACTAGGGTGACAACCTGGTCTAGCAACAGATTTCCAGATGTATTCCTGATGCATGGTTTCTTTCTTCCAGGCCACATTAGTTTGTGAAGGAAACCCATTGAGATGAGAGTTTTAGCTTCTGGTAGGAGCTTATATAGTCATGTAAGCACTAACCCAGAAACAAAAGGAAAACAACTATTGCCTTTTAGGAGGTTTGTATAATGGCTGTAAAACAGAGTTTTTTTATCATAACTCAACATTTGAACTAGAAATTTTCATAAACTGAAATTCCTATCCCCTCACATACTGGTTAATTAGAATCTTTTTATTTCTCCAGCCCTTTGTACTTAGAAGGTTTTAAGAGAGATTTTTGGACCTGTAGAGGTGAAAGATCCACCTATTCCTTTATACTATGAACATACATGTTCTTTCTTTAGGTTTTCTCATTTCTCATTGTCATCATACAGTACATTCTAGTTGGGCATGTTTTCAGTTATGATATCTGTTTTCACTACAAACTTTTGTTGTTATTTTTTTTTTTGAGTCAGGTTCTTACTTTGTCACCTGGGCTAGAGTTCGGTAGTGTGAACATGGCTCAGTGCAACCTCAAACTCCTGGGCTCAAGCAATCCTCCTGCTTCTGCCTCCCCAGTAGCTAGGACTACAGGTGCATGCCACCACACCTGGCTAATTTTTTGATTTTTTGTAGACACAGGGTCTTGCTGTGTTGCCCAGGCTGGTCTTAAACTTTTAACCTCAAGCTGTCCTCCCACCTAGGCCTCCCAAAGTGCTAGGATTACAGGCATGAGCCAGCACACCTGGCCTCATTACAAACTTTTGAATCAGATGGTGTTCTCCTTCATTTTATAAGTGAAGTGTCTTGCTTAGGGTCATAGAAGTAATAATAGGTCTGTTGATCTCTATATACTATATGTCTATATGTAATTTAGGTTAAACTACTTTGTAGGTTTTCTACCCAAGGAAAAAATGGTACATTTTTGATCATTCTTTTGGCACTGCTGCAGAAAGCAGTCACAGATGTTAAGCCCTCCCTCCTGAAGAAAGAAGAAGAGTAATCCCCCAAGTGTGACCAAGTCCATAAATCCTTCGTAACCACAATAGAACTTCTGTTTCTCTTACAGGTGATCATCGTCTTGCCCTTCTTTTGTCTCAGTTTGTGGGTAGCCAGTCAGTCCGGGAGCTGCTCACCATGCAGCTGGTGGATTGGCATCAGCTCCAGGCTGACTGCTTCATCCAGGATGAGAGACTGCGCATCTTTGCCCTGTTAGCTGGAAAACCGGTATCTCCTTCTTTTACCATAATCTCACCTCAGTTTTCTCGTAAATTCAAGGTTGTTTGAAGTTGAAGCAAAGAGCTATCTGTATAGATTGCACACGATTACACATACCTGGACAAATGGTTTTTAATTTTTAGTGGAAATATTTTCAACTTATAAAGGCTGACATGTACACTATAGAAAAATTTAGTTACATAAAAATCAAAACTTTAAAATTCACCATATCTCATCTTAGTGGTAAACAACATAAATAATTTATCTGTCTTTCCAGACATATTTTAAGTCTACATCAACTTATGTGTGTTGATAGTTACTTGTTTGTATATACAACTAAAATCAATTATACATAGCTGTTCTGCCACTTTTTTTAACCTACTCTATATGAACAGTTTTCCATGTCATGAGGCACCATTCTTTTAAATAGCCACTTCTATTCCATTTATGGATGATGGACCATAATTATTTTAAGCCAGTTCTCTATCACCGCCTACCTCTTTGATTACCTTCTTATAGTCAATTTTCAGAAATAAAATACCTGGTCATAATTTATGCTCAACTTAAAGTTTTGTAAGTTCTCAGCTATGGATAGTGAGAAGACCTGCTCTCTGTTTTCACTGGCTCTCATCTCTTTTCAGAGCATTGATAATTTGTTTAAATCCACCCTCTCACCTGCCAGCAAGAGACTGTGTATTTTATATCTGGATCATTAACACTGACATCCAGATAATTTAAAATATTACTTGAATAAATTAATAACTTGCAGACATATCCAGTAATGAGGTTAAGTATTGCCGTAGTGATAATTTTGTCTCCTGCAGGTGTGGCAGCTTTCAGAGCAGAAGCAAATCAATGTGTGCTCCCAGTTGGATTGGAAACGCTCCCTGGCTGTCCATCTTTGGTATTTGCTTCCACCAACAGCCTCCATTTCTAGGGCACTCAGCATGTATGAAGAAGCATTTCAGGTATATGTGGCCAGTAAAGCAATCAGGAATCTTGGTGGGTGTTTCTGTTTTTGCTAGATAAGTCCTATAGAGGAAAAAACCATCATTCACATTTCATAATACTTGTTACTAGCTGCCTATTTTGAAACTACTATAAAATTGAAATGGACCTAGGAGATCTGATGGGAAACTTTATCCTGTTCCTACTTCTGGGCAGGGTTACTTCTCCAATGTCTGCTCTTACTTTATTTAATATGATGAGTTTCCACAGTTGAGTTTCCCACTTTTGTTTTCCTGCCTCTAAATCAAAGGGTTTTTCTTCATTTCTTTTTTTTTTTTTTTTTTTTGAGACAGAGTCTCACTCTGTTGCCCAGGCTAGAGTGCCATGGCGTCAGCCTAGCTCACAGCAACCTCCAACTCCTGGGCTCAAGCGATCCTCCTGCTTCAGCCTCCCGGGTAGCTGGGACTACAGGCATGCGCCACCATGCCCGGCTAATTTTTTCTATTTATTTTTAGCTGTCCAATTAATTTCTTTCTATTTTTGGTCGAGACGGGGTCTCGCTCTTGCTCAGGCTGGTCTCAAACTCCTGACCTCGAGCGATCCTCCCGCCTCGGCCTCCCAGAGTGCTAGGATTACAGGTGTGAGCCACCGCGCCCGGCCTTTTTCTTCATTTCTAATGTTGTCTTACTCCTTTGGGAATTCTCTGATAAACACCCTGACCTTGGGTTTGGTTTAACCCCCAACTTAGCAGTTCTGAAATTTGCCTCTAAATAGTATATTTCATATTCCTCATCATTGTTGAGCTTAAAGTATTGTTATTGTTTTTAATGCCATCATTTCTTGAATTCTCTTCTTATTGTCCTTATATTTGTCTTTGATATTGTTTGTCAGAATTATTTGTCAGGAGAAAAAGAACACTAAAGAAACTGAATATATTGGCCAGGCGCGGTGGCTCACGCCTGTAATCCTAGCACTCTGGGAGGCCGAGGCGGGAGGATTGCTTGAGCTCAGGAGTTTGAGACCAGCCTGAGCAAGAGCGAAACCCCATCTCTACTAAAAATAGAAAGAAATTAGCTGGACAACTAAAAACATATAGAAAAAATTAGCCAGGCATGATGGCGCATGCCTGTAGTCCCAGCTACTCAGGAGGCCGAGGCAGGAGGATCTCCTGAGCCCAGGAGTTTGAGGTTGCTGTGAGCTAGGCTGATGCCACGACACTCTAGCCCGGGCAAGAGAGTGCAACTCTGTGTCAAAAAAAAAAAGAAAGAAAGAAAGAAAGAAACTGAATATATTAATATATTAAGAATTGTGGCAAGTAAAGTATGGGGGTTTAGTGAGAACTTGAAATCTTTACCGGTCCAAGATAAGTGAAATGTTTCAGGGATGAAAAAAAGTTTAAAGTCCCTGAGAGATTCCTTCGAATTGTCAATTCATTCTTATTACAGGCATCTAAGTAATTGAGACATGATAGCGTCTAGTAAAATAGACTAGTAGCTGATGTATTGCTTTGTGAAATTCTTCCCTTCAGAATACCTCTGAGGGTGACAGATATGCCTGCTCCCCACTTCCTTCATACATAGAGGGCTCCGGCTGTGTGGTAGAAGAGGAACAAGACTCACGGAGACCACTTCGAGATGTCTGCTTTCACCTTCTAAAACTCTACAGTGACAGGTAAACCAGAGCCAGGTATTAAACCAAAACCACTTAAGTGCTCCATCAGCCCCCAGGGAGTCCTTTCCTTGGTTCTGTCCCTTTCTTACACCCCCAAATTGCCATAAGTCTATATAAATTACCAAATATAATTTACAGTAGTTAAATGGAAACCTCGGTGGAATTAGAAGTCTAAAAATTATTTTAATCAACTTTAATGAGATACAGTTTACATATAATAAAATATGCAGTTTGATAAGTTTTTATCATAATTATTACATTGTAACTACTGTCACAACCAAGATACTATTTCCCTTACATCTGAAAAATTCTCTTGTGCCCCACAGTAGTCAGTACCCTAGACAACTATTGACTGGCTTTTTGTTACTATAAATTAGTTTTGCTATTCTAGAAGTTTCTATAATTAAGATCATACTGTATGTTCTCTTTTGTGCCTGGCCTTTTTCACTCAGCATTATGGTTTTGAGATTTATCCATATTAGTGTACATATATAAAACTTGGGTGAGGAGTTTGCATATGAATATATCCATTTATTGATGGCAGTTAGGTTTTTCTTATTTTTAGCTATCATGGATAAAGTTGCTATGAACATTTATATCCAAAAGTGGATATATCATTTTATGTTCCCACCAGTAATATATAAGATCTCTAGTTGCTCCATATCCTTTTTAAAATTTGGTATTGTCAAGGCCGGGCGCGGTGGCTCACGCCTGTAATCCTAGCACCCTGGGAGGCCAAGGCCGGAGGATCGCTCGAGGTCAGGAGTTCGAAACCAGCCTGAGCAAGAGCGAGACCCTATCTCTACTAAAAATAGAAAGAAATTAATCGGACAACTAAAAATATATAGAAAAAATTAGCCGGGCATGATGGCGCATGCCTGTAGTCCCAGCTACTCGGGAGGCTGAGGCAGAAGGATTGCTTGAGCCCAGGAATGTGAGGTTGCTATGAGCTAGGCTGATACCACGGCACTCACTATAGCCCGGGCAAAAGAGTGAGACTCTGCCTCAAAAAAAAAATAAAATTGGTATTGTCAGATATATTTTTTTTAATTTTAATTTTTTTGAGACAGGGTCTTGCTCTGTTGCCCAGGCTGGAGTGCAGTGGCGTAATCATAGCTCACTACAACCTTGAACTCCTGGGCTTCACGTGATCCTCCTGCCTCAGCCTCTTGAGTAGCTGGGACTACGGGTGCGCCACCATGGCTGGCTAATTTCTTGTAGAGATGGAGCCTTCTATGTTGCCGAGGCTGGTCTCGAACTCCTGGCCTCAAGCTATCCTCCTGTCTCAGCCTCCTAAAGTGCTGAGATTATAGGCATGAGTCACTGTGCCCAGTCTGTTTTCAGATTTTTATTTTTATTTATTTGTTTAATTTGTATTATCTAAAGTCTCAGAGAGAAGGAAGGCCTGTAATGCTTTTGACCTTGGGTTCTTTTATTGTCTTCTGAGACATAACCAGAACAGTTGACCTATTAATGCAGGCTGTCTACTGGCTGGATATGGTAACTATCAACACATTGTTGTCTGCAGACATTATGATCTCAACCAGCTGTTGGAGCCTCGAAGCATAACGGCAGATCCTTTGGACTATCGCCTAAGCTGGCACTTATGGGAAGTACTGAGGGCTCTTAACTATACCCATCTCTCAGAGCAGTGCGAAGGTGTGCTGCAGGCCAGTTATGCCGGCCAACTGGAAAGTGAGGGGCTCTGGGAATGGGCCATCTTCGTCCTCCTGCACATTGACAACTCAAGGTAAGTGAGAAGTCATTGAACCCTCTGGGTGCACCTAGTACTCAAAAGCAATGCCAAAGGAATCATAGTCTCTTAGGGTTCATTCAGCAACTAATTATTTAGGATATGTGTTATATCGAGCCTCATGATAAACCTCAAGACAGTTAAGCCCTCACCCCAGATTATCTCTGTATTCACGTGAAGCAGTTAAAAATCAGAGTGACTGTGATTAAGTGCCAAATTATAATATTTATCACAAGGCCTCTCAGTAGTCTGAGAAAGAAAAAGAGATCTCTGTAAACACCAATGATCAGAAAAAGTCTAGAGATAAGAGTCAAAGGACTTGTAAAATTTCAATAGGAAATAATGAAGTGGAAATGGAAGGATATGCCCATGTTGGGGGATAGCATTAACTCAGGCACAGATTCAGTACCATGTGGCATGTTCAGGAATTATGCAGAAGTAGTGTTGGCTGAGCTGCCTTAGTGGATCCATGACACTGATATAATGGATTGACAGGAAGGCCCCTGCTTTTTCTCTGTCTACTGGCCATCTCCTCTAGCCATCCCTTGCCACCCACCACCCCTTAAGTTTAGTAGTACTCCATTTATCAACACAACCTTATGCTTTACTGCATGTGTTTTGGTTTTCTGTCCTGAAGTAGAACTGAAGAAATGCCTTTTCATCATAGTTTCAACAAGATGAAGTCGGGAGTTTTTTATTAATGGTATCAGTAATTTTGTATATGTTTATACTCCAAGTATTTTACATATATTAACTATTTTATGCTCATAATGAATTTATGAGCTTGACCCTCTTATAATCTCTACTTTGCAGATGAGCAACCCAAGACATAGAGAGATAAAGTAACTTTTGCTGAAGGTCACACAGCTAGTGAATGGCAGAGTGAGATTTCCAACTCACACATCCAGAGTCTATGCTCTTAATCACTATGCTGTACTGTTATGTTTTTTTAATCTGTGAAATCATAACATTAGTCCCTATTCAAAGGTGACTGTGGGATTAAAAGAATAAACATATAAAGCATCTAGCACAGCCTTCCTGTTAAACAATTTCTCTTTCCTCTTCCCCCATAACAGGAACTGAAATCACCCCAGACTATTCCTTCAAGTTTATTTAAACACACTCATGAGGGATTTCACATGCTAAGGCCAGCTGATAGGATGACTGATGTTTCAGAGTTGGCTGTGGGGAAGCAGATCCTATTTCCTGAAAAAGAATATAAAAAAGGAGGCAGCTGTGCTGAGATTGGGAGTCCTTGAAAAGCCTAGGAGTTGAGAAAAAGAGTCCAAGATGAGGTGAATAGCTCTGGTCCAAAACTAAATGACTAGTCCTTTTGGCCTAGGCATAAAATGATTCTCTTCAAGGGGCCTTAATCTAGAGGTAGAGAGAGAGTGAATTAGGAAAGCCGATGGCTTGAGAAAAGTAACAAAGACCTGAAAGAGACATTACCTTTCGAAACTATTTTTTTTGCTTGTACTGACCATGTAGGAGAAAGGGAAAGGAGAAGGTTAGAAATGAACTTCAGATGACTACTCTCTGGAGCAGAATTCTCCCTATCGCAGTCCTTGATCTTCTAGGTGCTGACAAGGAAGTGTTACTAGATGAGAAATAAAGAAGATCCTACTTAGGGGAAGTCTTTTCTGGGGAGTGGGCAACCTGCCGTAGAGTATTGTCTTCCAGCGTTTTGACCATGAAAACTGGATATGCTTAGAATTTCTTTTTTTTTTTTTTTTTTGAGTCATATTTTAAATGATCTAAGAATTGAGACCTGCTATTTGAGAGACTGCCCCAGGGGCCACTCTAAGCTGTCTAGGGCAGCCTTCTCCGTGAGTGAGGATGGGACTTAACGTAGCTTATCTCTCTTCATACAGCATACGTGAGAAGGCTGTTCGAGAGCTGCTTACCCGGCACTGCCAGCTATTGGAAACCCCTGAATCTTGGGCTAAGGAGACTTTCCTTACCCAGAAGCTTTGTGTGCCTGCTGAGTGGATTCATGAGGCCAAAGCAGTGCGAGCACACATGGAATCTGACAAGCACTTGGAGGCCCTCTATTTATTTAAAGCTGGGCACTGGAACCGCTGCCACAAACTCATCATCCGGCACTTAGCTTCTGGTGAGTGCTGGCACACACACCTCCTGGAATGACCCCAAATTCTTCCAACCTCTGAACCCCCATGATGGGTCAGGCCAGAGATGATACTCAGTATAGGACATGACAGACTTGAGTCAAATCACCCTTTGGGAAAGCTCTCTGCAGAAGAGGCTTGCCCAGGATGAGGGGCTTGAGCGGCAGGGAAGGTGGCAATATTGTTAACCATTTGCCAGAAATATCCCTGACATGCACTAATTTTATTAAGCTCTTTATTTATGGAAATGTTACCCAACAATGCGAAAAATACCTCCTTGGGGAACTGAAGCCAGAAATTCTTCAAATTTTCCTTTCGAGAATTTCAGAATATAGGTGTACCTTGTTGTATTGTGCTTCACAGATACTTTTTTTAAATAAATTGAAGATTTGTGGAACCCTGCATAGAGCAAGTCAATTGGTGCCATTTTTCCAACACCGTGTGCTCACTTCATGTCTCTGTGTAACATATCGATGATTCTTGCAATATTTCCAACTTTTTCATTATTATTTTGTCTGTTGTATTAGTCTGATCAGTGATCTTTGATGTTACTGTTATAATTATATTGGGTCACCATGAACCATGTACATTAAAGATATGTGTGTTCTGACTGCTCCACCAACCGGCCATTATCCATCTCTCTCCCTCTCATTGGGCCTTCCTATTCCCTGAGATACACCATTATTAAAATTATGCCAAATTAATAATCCTACTGTGGCCTCTCAGTGTTCAAGTGAAAAGAAGAGTCACACTTCTCTTACTTTAAATCAAAAGCTAGAAATGATCAATCTTAGTAAGAGAGGCATATCAAAAGCCAGTACAGTCCAAAAGGTAGGCCTCTTGTACCAAACATTAGCCAAGTAAAGGCCCTAACTCTCTGATTCAAAGAAGGCTGAGACAAGTGAGGAAGCTGCATAGAACAGTTTGAAGCTAACAGAGGTTGGCTCATGAGGTTTAAGGAAAGAAACCATCTACATAACATAAGAGTGCAAGATGAAGCAGCAAGTGGTGAGGGAGAAGCTGCAGCAAGTTGTCAAAAAGATCTAGCTAAGATAATCAATGAAGGTGGATACACTAAACAACAGATTTTCAATGTAGATTAAACAGCTTTCTGTTGGAAGAAGATTCCATCTAGGATTTTCTGTTTTTTTTTTTTTTGGGCAGGATCTTGCTCTGTTTCCCAGGCTAGAGTGCAGTGGCATCATCATAGCTCACTGCAACCTCAAATTCCTGGCCTCAAGCAATCCTCCTGCCTCGCCCTTTCAACATACTAGGATTATAGACATGAGCCATCGTGCCTGGCCTATCTAGGACTTTGATAGCTAAAGAAGAGAAGTTAATGCCTGGCTTCAAAGTTTCAAAAGACAGGCTGACTCTCTTGTTAGGGGCTAATGCAGCTGGTTAGTTTAAGTTGAAGCCAGTGCTCACTTACCATTCTGAAAATACTAGGGCCCTTAAGGATTATGCTCAATCTACTCCGCCTCTGCTCTATAAATGGAATAACAAAGCCTGGATGACAGCACATGTGTTTGTAGAATGGTTTACTGAAAATTTTAAGCCCCCTGTTGAGACCTACTACTCAGGAAAAAAAGATTCAGCCAGGTGCAGTTGGCTCACACCTGTAGTCCTAGCACTCTGGGAGGCCAAGGCAGGAGGATTGCTTGAGGTTGAGAGTTTGAGACCAGCCTGAGCAAGAATGAGACTCCGTCCCTATAAAAAAAAAGAAAAATTAGTTGGGTATGGGTGGCACGTGCCTGTAGTCCCAGCTACTAGGGAAGCTGAGGCAGGAAAAACATACGAGCCCAGGAGTTTGAAGTTTCAGTGAGCTATGATGACACCACTGCACTCTAGCCAGGGCAACAGAGCAAGGCTCTGTCTCAAAAAAAAAAAAAAAGAAAGATTCCTTTCAGAATATTACTGCTCATTGACAGTGAAAACACCTAGTCACCCAAGAGCTGTGATGGAGATGTACAAGAAGATTGATGTTGTTGTGCCTGCTAACACAATATCCATTCTGCAGCCCATGGATCAAGGAGTAATTCAACTTTCAAGCCTTATTATTTATGAAATACATTTCATAAGGTTATCGCTGCTATAGATAGTAATTCCTCTGATGGATCTGACAAAATAAATTGAAAGGTTTCTAGAAAGTATTCACCATTCTAGATGCCATTAAGAACATTTGTGATTTATGGGAGGAGGTTAAAATATCAGAATTAACAGTAGTTTAGAAGAAGTTGATTCCATCCCTCATGGATGACTTTGAGGGGTTAAGATTTTAGTGGAGGAAGTGAGTGTAGATGCAGAGGAAATAGCAAGAGAACTAGAATTAGAAGTGGAGCTTGAAGTTGTGAATGAATTGCTACAGTCTCATGATAAAACTTCAACCTAGGCCAGGCACGGTGGCTCATGCCTGTAATCCTAGCTCTCTGGGAGGCCGAGGTGGGCGGATTGTTTGAGCTCAGGAGTTCGAAACCACCCTGAGCAAGAGCGAGACCCCATCTCTACTAAAATTAGAAAGAAATTAATCGGACAACTAAAAATATATAGAAAAAATTAGCCGGGCATGGTGGCACATGCCTGTAGTCCCAGCTACTCGGGAGGCTGAGGCAGGAGGATCGCTTGAGCCCAGGAGTTTGAGGTTGCTGTGAGCTAGGATGACGCCACGGCACTCTAGCCCGGGCAACAAAGTGAGACTGTGTCTCAAAAAAAAAAAAAAACTTCAACCTATGAGTTGTTTCTGAAGAAACAATTTTCTTCACGCATCCATAGAAGTTCTACCTCTGGTGAGGATGCTGTGAACATTGTTGAAATGACAGCAAAGGATTTAGAATATTACATAAACTTAGTTAATAAAGCAGTGGTTGGGTTTGAGAGAATTGACTCCAATTTTGAAAGAAGTTCTGTTGTGTGGGTAAATGCTATCAAACAGCATGAGAAATCTGTCATGAAAGGAAGAGTCAATGGATGTAGCATACTTCATTGTTGTCTTATTTTAAGAAATTGCTGCAGCCACCCCAACCTTCAGCAACTGCTGTTCTACCAGCAGCTGTCAACGTTAAGGCAAGACCTCCACCAGCAAAAATATTACAGTTCACTGAAGGCTCAGATGATCATTAGCATTTTTTAGCAAGAAAGTATTTTTTAATTAAGGTATGTACTTTTAGGCATAATGCTGTTGCACACTGATAGACTACAGTATAGTATAAATGTAACTTTTATATGCACTGAGAAACCAATGCATATAAACCACTGGGAAAATTTTGTATGATTTGCTTTATTGCAATATTTGCTCTATTTCCAAGGCCTGAAACTGAACCTCCAATATCTCTGAAGTATGCCTATATCTACTTGTAATTCTGAAGTCTGGCCCAATATTATTTCTCCTTCCTTCCTGTCTTAGATTTCTGCCATGTCCTCTGCCCATTTGGAAACCATATACTTGTGCAGACATTACATTCAATATTTTGTTTCTTCAGATGCCATCATTAATGAGAACTATGACTACCTGAAGGGGTTCTTAGAAGACCTAGCACCTCCAGAGCACAGCAGCCTAATTCAGGACTGGGAAACATCTGGACTTGTTTACCTGGACTATATTCGGGTCGTTGAAATGCTCCACCATGTACAACAGGTACCTGAGTTCCTTTAGCCACTGCCTAGTTTTCCTTTTCTCAGGCCCTTAAATTTTCAGAAACCCCAAAAGGCATTAGTATGTATATACTTAAAAACTCATTGCCAGAGACAGCACTGTTAAAGCAGGTGGGACTTTTTTATTTTTATTTTTTTAATTTTTTATTTCAGCATATTATGGGGGTACAAATGTTTAGGTTACATATATTGTCTTTGCCCTGCCTGAGTCAGAGCTTCAAGCTCTGATGAGGCTAATTTTATGTAGTTAGGTTGACAATGTATTAAAACTTTAAAACACTTTATTACCAACTAATATGTGCAATAGACATTCCTGAGGCTTGCCTGTAGGCAGTCCCCTCCTCTTGTTCAGCCCTAGTTAAAGTGAGAAGCTCAGGGATGAGATATAGAGTAAAAGCAGAGATTTGGTTAGGAATATTGTTTCACTAATTGTTTTGCATGTTTTAAAATTGCAAATGTGGTTTTTATAAGTCTTCATTAAAATGTGTTGAGTCAGTCTTGATAGTCATAAGATAGGTCTCCATTGCTTGCTTATAGCACAAAAAACAAACTCATAAGTACAGGATTTAAGTCCCTTTATAGGCTTTTACCTTTTACTCCTACGTTAATTCCTAACACTCATATTCCACATCTCAGCCTTGCTAGCTTGTGCCACTCACACTTAGTTACCTGTGGTGTTTTCAACAAACCATATTATATTCCACTCTTTACCTAGCATATTTATATTCATCCTTTAAGATCTAGATTGCTGTTAATTCTATTTCTCCCTCCTTTTCCCCCAGAGAGTTAATTTGTACTTTGTTTTTTACTACCAAAACACTTGATATATTTTTCTACTAGCGTATTGCCTGTCAGACCGTATTGTAGTTATTTATTCATATCTCCAGGTTGCCATAAGCCCTACTTTTAGGAAGGTCTTTTTTATTTTAAGGTTAAAGGCAATAGAGTATAGAAGTTAAGAGCTCAAGTTCTGGTCCAGGAACGGTGGCTGACATCTATAATTCCAGCACTTTGGGAGATAAAGGCAAGAGGATTGCTTGAGGCCAGGAGTTCAAGACCAGTCTGGGCAACACAGTGGGACCTCACCTCTACAATTTTTTTAAATAAGCTGGATGTGGTGGTGAATGCCTGTAGACCTAGCTCCTCAGCAGGCTGAGGTAGGGGGATCATTTGAGCCCAGGAGTTTGAGGCTGTAGTGAGCTGTGATCACCCTGAACTCAACCTCAGCAACAGAGCAAGACCCTGTCTCAACAAAATAAAAATAAAAAAATAAACCTATATTCTGGGATTAAGAGTCTTAGGGCCAGGCGTGGTGTAATCCTAGCACTCTGGGAGGCTGAGGCGGGCAGATCGTTTGAGCTCAGGAGTTCAAGACCAGCCTG